AACGCACACACACAAACACACACACACACACACACACACACACACACACACCAGCCTCTGGCTGTGAGTTGTCCAGTAAAACGCTGTTAGCACAACGGCTTCAAAGCAAGATGTCCAGCGAGGCAAAGAAACAATTCACTAAAACAAAGGAACAAGGCAATGAGTCTACAAAGCAATAAGGCAATGTGTCCATGAAGCAAGGAACAAGGCAAGAAGTCCAGCAAACTCTAGACGTCGGCAACGGCACACAAAACACCACAAATTCAGTGTTTGTTCCTGATAAATGACCCTCCCCACAACGTCTCCTTAAGTCTCAATCTACAGGCATGCCTTGTGAAGAGGGGCGGTGTGCTCTCCTCCTGAATTGTCGGGTTGGCCTGCGCTGTTCCCGCCGCCTCTTCACTCTCCATGCTTAGGGATCAGGAGGGGGCGTCCTTGCTTATCACCTGAGCTGTGTCGCTCCTCATCTCCACTGCCTGTCCTCTCTCGGTCGTCCTGCCCCCATTCCTCCCTGCTGGTAAGCCACCCCAAGCCTGAGGGGCCCGGGGCTGCCTCATCCTGCTTCTCCCCACATTCCTCCATAGCCAATGAGGCTGCCCCTCAATCTCCATTGGCCCCAGCTCTGGCTCATCCTCCTTCATGGATTCAGGCTCCAATGGGGGCATGACAGTGATCCTCCAGATGCTACTGAGACACAGATGTTGGAATGCAATGTTTAAGTGCTTGACATGGACCAAAATGATCCATGTTCAAGTATCCACAACGGAGCTCACCTAGTGGTACGCGGACAGACATCATCTTTCAATTCCATCTGCTTTAAATTGTTGCTTATAGACGTAGCAGCAGGAGGGTTGTCTCTTTCATTTAAGTCACCCTGAGCTCTTAAATAAGAGACTGGATGCAAATTCAATATATCAATAACCTCCAGCAGTGCCATGCGAACAGTGAAGGATGCTGGGAATCACAGTTGAGCACTATCTGGGGTGGGACAAGTTTTTATCCCTTACCCTAAGTAGACAGTAAGTTCATTCCATTAACCATCCTATGTCTGAAAAGGTTAATAAAATACAATACAATAACAGAGTTGGAAGGGACCTTGGAGGTCTTCTAGTCCAACCCCCTGCCTAGGCAGGNATCCCATCCCATCCTATTCTATTGTTCTGTTCCGTCCCCTTCTGTCCCATCCCATCCCATCCCATCCTATTCTATTCTGTCCCGTTCCGTCCCATCCCGTCCCATCCCGTCCCATCCCATTCTGTTCTAATAATAACCAAGCCTGGCCCTGCCTAGGTTCGGAAAACGGGCAAAGATCGCCGAATCTGTCCCGAACTTTCCAAGTTTCCCCCTCTCTGAGGCGCGGCGGGGCTCCCACGCAGCCCCGTGGACCCTCTGCCGCCGCCGCCCTAGGGCTTCCTGCTACGCGGGACATTCCCCGCCTGCGCCTCTTCCTCCGCCTCGCCTTCGACCCCGCCTCTGAAGCGGCGAAGGCGGCGGCACCACTTCCCCTTCCCTTTCGCTTTCCCTGCCTGCCAGAGCCGTCCGGGGGGTTGCCGGGCTTCGCTTCGCTCTTGTCGGGATGGCTTCGGCGTCCCCGCTGCCGGCTGTCCCGCTGCTGATCCACCGTCTGGGAGAGCGCCTGCTAAGGAATCTCAGCCACCTGTTGGATCGCGCCCCTCCGGGCAAAGGCTGGCGGGATTTGGCGCAGCTGTCTGGGAGCCGCGGCGGAGTCCGGCTGAGGTGAGAGAGCTCGGCAGGGAGAGCGGGAGGGTGGATCCCCCCGGGAGGCGGACGGAGAGAGGGATCCCCTGAAGGGAGACCGGGTCCTTCGGTGACCACAGGGCTCCCCTTTCTTGGGGAGAGGAGTGCGCCGTCTCTGGCCGCTGGGAGGCGAAAGGAGGCGTGTCTGGACACCGGTAGTCCTCGACTTACAACAGTAGAGTTTAGTGACCGCTCAGAGTAAACTCACCACCCAGTTTTCACACGTAGGGCCAATGTAGCATCCCCAGGTTATGTGATAGCATCCCCGTGTTGTGTCTGAGGTCATGGGATCAAAATACAGCCGCTTAGCAACCAACTCATATTTATTTTTATATAAAGGGGTTTTTTTCTTTCATTTTTATTTTCATAGCATATAACCCAGTGTTTCTCAACCTTGGTGAGTTGAAGTCCTGTGGACCTCAACTCACCAAGGTTGAGAAACACTGATATAACCACATGGGTTCCACCACAAAACCGCGGTAGACTAAAGCGCGCTCGACGAAAGCGCGTACGTGACGTCATCACAGCGCGACGAAAACATTGCGCTGTCAGCGGTAAATTTAAAATTATCCAAGAAGCTTCTTCAGCTTCTGACTGGATGGTGGGGAATAGAA